GTCCCTCTGGATGGTTTTCCTTCCTTCCAGTATGTCAGCGGCACCACTCAGCTTAGTATCATCTGCGAACTTGCTGAGGGTGCACTCGATGCCATCATCTATGTCATTGATGAAGATGTTAAAGAGCACCGATCCCAGGACGGACCCCTGAGGGACACTGCTCATGACCGGCCTCCACCCTGACACAGAACCGTTAATCATAACCCTTTGGCTGCGTCCAGCCAGCCAGCTCCTAATCCATCGTGCAGTCCATCCTTCAAATCCACACCTCTCCAATTTAGAGAGAAGGATGTGGTGAGGGACCATGTCAAAGGAATGGCTCTCATTAGGTTAGATTCCTGAATATATTTTTACATAGAACTTGAAAATATGGAAACTTTAAGACCTGGTTATCCAATCATGTGTACCCACTTCTTCATCTCATTTCCATCAAATGCAGGGGTATTTTTTTTGTGAAAACCGGCAGTTTTGTACTATCTAAAAATATTGCGATGTTTACTTCTTGATACAGCAGTTTGTCTTTTGACATGAGCAACCTGGGCTAGTGGGAGGTGTCCCTGCCCATGGCAGGGGGTGGAACTAGATGATCTTTAAGGTCTCTTCCAGCCCAAACCATTCCATGATCTTGTCATTCTATGTTAAAGTTAACCCTCAATCTGTCTAAGTGGCAGGACATAACATCAGTGGTTCAGTTCAAGCACGAGTGGCCTTAACTGGTCACCATAAGTATCAGACTATAGAATAGTAAACCTGTCTTAGTCTTCATTGTGGGCTACCGAATTACCTATCTACAGCAGATTGGAATTTGTTTTATTAAAGCATGCCATAGTATTTAAGTGTAAAGACTGCTACAAAGAAAGGAGGAGGGCAAAAGACTGAGTGTTGTGACCATGTGTGAGCTCAGCTCTTCAGTCCCAGTCCCATTCCCTGGTTGGCTGCAGTGCTGTATGATCTTGGGATGCCTCCTGCATCAGAAAAAACTGTGCTGCCTGTTAACGGGTCATACATACATTTAAATGTTGAGATTTTGGAGACTGTGGCATTGAGGTGTAGGCAAATACATATTGTAGATACTGAACCTACGATGTGCCATGCTCAGAGCTCTTTGTGTCTGGTTGCACTTCCTCAAAACAAATCTCTTTGGGTCTTTTTTGAAGGTAGGTTTCTGATTGTGTTTTGATACATATCCTGAAGTCCCCTGCTTTTAAAGTCTTTGACAGTAGGCCCTGGCGAGAGGATGTTAAAGCATGTAAAGGAATCAGCTTATGAAGCAGTTGATAAACACAGTTGTTGCTGTGTATGGAGATCTGCTCACCCCTGGTATCTCCCTGTATTCCTCTGTCTGTCTCAGGTGAGCTTTTACCCACACCCCATAGCGGATCGCTGGCTTTGGAGAACATCTGGAAGCCCCTAACTCTGTTTACTCTGTTATGGGATACTTGCCAAAGCTGAAGGCTGCTCTGCACTCTGTTTTCCTGCCTTAATTGTCAGGATGGTTCCTCTCTTTTTCCCCTCATCCCAAAAGTAAAAGTTTGTGAAAATCCAGGTAAAGTGAGGAGTCTGCAGGCAAAGTTATCAGAGCTGTGTTGGTGTAGTTGCACTGTTACAGGAAGGAGTCTGCTGCTTTAGCTGTCCTCACTGAAAAGGTAGAACTGAAGTTCAGGAAAGCTGTAAATAATAGACTGTATTTTCCAAAAGGAAAATGTTAGTGTTGTGTTAGTATGTTTGTGGTTAGGTGTGTCAGCAGCAGAGCTGTCTTTCCTTCCAGCTTGGAAACCTGGTGATCAGACATGAAATACTTTGGAAAGAGGTACTGAATGATCTCTTGATTGTGCAATGACTTCATGCCTAAGTTTGAGTTTTCTATTGGCTTTTGATTATAATTTCCTTGGATAGTTAGGTTTCCTGTCTCTGGTTAAATGTTAGTGCGTGAAGCATGTCTTTCAGTTTATGAACAGATGAATTTTAGTGAATAGTGAATCCTTTTTTGTCTTTGAGTGTGTAGCCCAAGCTTTAGACATGTTCTGCCTCCTCTTTTGGAGAGACTTTGTGTAATGAAATTCAGAATGGGAATAATCGTAATTGGTGAAGTCTGGGGACAGGAAGGAGCCTTGAGTAGCAGATTTGAACAAGGGATCATAGCATTAGTTACAGTGTGTTTGGATTCGTGAGGCTGAGCTGTATATAGCCCATAATGTGGACAACGGCAGGCAAAGACTGTTGCAGATAGTCTATTCCTCCAAGGGCTGTTGGAGTCATGTAGGTACCTATTCCAGCTTTCTGTAAGTTATTACTTGCTGGGATAACTGTAAAGCTCTATTTGAATTCTTGAAAATGAAGGAATATACCACTGGAGATGCAATTTTAGAACTACAGTTTAAAATCTATTATAAGTATATAGCCATTTTCCTTGGTACAAGCCCTAATGCAAGTTTTGCAAATAACAAAATGTAGCTTGTACTGGGTCTATTTTGGAACTTCTGTTTGTGGAATATGGTCCCAATTTCTTTAGGAAAACCAAAGAAGTTAGGAGCCTTAGTTTCATGAATGCTATATGGCTCACTACCCTACTTCTCTGTTCTAGGAGTGTTTCTCAGGAGCTGTCAGAGACGATCCTCACCATGGTAGCTAACTGCAGTAATGTCATGAACAAGGCTAGACAGCCACCACCTGGAGTCATGCCAAAAGGACGCCCGCCCAGTGCTAGCAGCTTGGATGCCATATCTCCTGTACAGGTAGACAAATAGGCTACATTTTTAGAAGGTGGTGTTGATTTAGCATTAGTTATGCTGCAATATTTGAGCTCTTTCAGCAGCACTAAGTAAAACATCATCTGTCTCCCTTTATGTTTGTGTGTCTAGATAACTTATAACTACAGAATAATGCCTGAGGGTTGTAGTTCAGAACTGTCTTTCACTTCTCAAATGTCTGTAAGAAGTAATTGAGGTGTAGGAGAGTGGGAGCACTGAAGAGGGGTAGAGATTTGATTATTTAAAATAACTGAGGGTTTCTTTTAAAGTGCTAGAATTTACTAAGACTTCTGAGAATTAAGCACTGCCTTTGAACTTGATATGTCTTGTTTGTAGCTTCATGGGCCAAGCAACAGTGCTAGAGCATAAGGACTTGTTATAACTGGGGCTCTTCAGCTCTCAACTGAACTGCTTTTTTAAAAACAAGGTACATTTAAGTTACTCCCTGCCACTCATCGTCCCTTCCTCCTCTGGGAGCAACACATTACGGACAGGTTTTGCTTCTAGCAATTACATTCAATGGCAGATTAAGTGGTAAAAACTTTTTCACATGAAATAGTGGCAATTCAGCATTTAAGAATGTCTGAAGCTTCAGTAGATTATGTAAACTAAATACGGAGAGCAGTTTCCTTTTAAATTGTTACTGTATTGAAGTTGCTCATCAAATGTACCAAATATCTTGGCAACCTGCTGCAGATAAGTGATGTCAATAAATACAGCAGGAGATGTTTTTCTGTAGGCATGCTATCTTTTGGGTAGATAACAGTTTTTTTGCTGTTCCTAGTCAGGAGCTCTTAATTTATTGCTTTGTCAGCTGGTGTTGTGCATTTCCTCCTACTCGTCACCCAGGTTTTAATGCTTTTTGTTGAAGACTGCATTCAGGTACTTAGCTGTGAAAAGTGGGCTTAAAGGGATCCTTCAGGTAGTCAAAAATACTCTGTACGGTTGATATGAAATAGCCTTTGGAAGTCTTGGGGTGATGTCTGAGGTCACAAACTTCAGAGCATAAACTAGTATGAAGTCTACATGCTGCTTAGAAGCATTTACTGTTGTGTTATGTTTAACTAGAGACTATGGAACAATCTATGGCCTTTCTGTAAAACCGCTGATAGAATAGGATTTTATGGGATTATAGAAGAAAAAGTGCAATTGCATTCTGTAGACAAACTCATCTCTTGGAGTGATCTGGATGACTTCAGAATTTAACCATGCAGAAAAGCTCTTCTCAGGAATGTTTTGATATGTAGCTGTCTTTGTACAAAACCTGCCAAAAGCTAGCTTGATTTTGGTTTATAGACGTTTGTCTATAATGTTCCTTTCTTCATTTAGATCGACTCGCTTGCAGGAATGGCATCTCTTAGTTTAGGTGGCTCAGCTGCTCCTCATACCCAGAGCATGCAAGGCTTCCCTCCAAACTTGGGCTCTGCATTCAGTACTCCTCAGTCACCAGCAAAAGCCTTCCCACCTCTTTCCACCCAAAACCAGACAACAGGTTTCAGTGGCATTGGAGGACTCTCTTCACAGCTTCCAGGTACTGCCATCTGGGTGGAATGTTTTGTATTTTCTGACACAGAGCTACAGTGCTGTCGTTGCTGTGGTTGGAAATACTGGACAAACGGCTGTGTGTTGTGTGGGAGGGAATTACACAGTCCTCACTCCTAGGTTGCTGCTGAAACTGCACTTCAGAATGTTGCAGCTGCAATAGGTAGAGTTTGAGAGTCAAGAAGATTAATGTTTTGACAGATTTTTAGCAGCATTATTTTAGGTTGGGACAGAGGTAAGGAATTGGTTGAGATAAAACTGGTTGAGATAAAACTGGTTGATATTGGATAGTTATGAGGCTCTATAGCTCTGAGTTCTTGGAAGTGGCAGGTGCTGGGAGTGGTAAGTGCATACCGTGAAGGGTGCAACAGAGATGACCAGTTGTTTGCTTTTCAGTAGGTGGTCTTACTACGGGTAGCCTGACTGGCATAGGAACCGGAGCCCTGGGCCTTCCTGCAGTGAACAATGACGCATTTGTGCAACGGAAGCTGAGCACATCTGGACTGAACCAGCCTACATTCCAGCAGAGTAAGATGAAACCTTGTAAGTGGTAGTGTTGTCTGTGGCTGTGAAGTGTGACTGTGGTCTGCAGTTAATCTGCATTTCCTTCAGAGGAGGCTTGGATGTGTAGGGGGTAAATTTTAGGTGGCTCTGGTATTATGCCATTAATCTGAAAAAGGTGCTTCTAAACTTCTATACTAAGTGCTTGCCAGGTAGCCAGGGCAGGGGTTAAAAAAATGTTGTCAGTGTAAAAAATGTAATGTTATGGATTTGCATGAACAATGTGTTTGTGTCCTTTTTTTTGTTGTGCTGTGTTTTCAACAAATGTGTTATCCTACTCTTTACAGAGAATTGTATGCATCTGGTAAAAGGGTGGGTTTTTGTAAGAAGGTTCAACAAAGCTACCTGGGTAGGGTCCTGTTGCAGCAGGGAACTTGACAAGTGAAGCAGTGAATTAGACTGCAACACTGGAAAGAAACAAGGCTAACATATGTTGGTGAGAATGTGGCTTTTGGAAGGAATAATTTGGTTCTTAACACTGAGCTATTGTCCTTGAATCATTTATGCCTCTGAAGTACGCTCCGAAATGTTCAAGCAATCGAACATTGCCTTTAGGAAGTATAGTCATGTGCTAAACCTTTCACATTGCTGTTATTGTGTGCCTCTATCTCTTTGATTTGCTCCACCATGAAGACAAAGTTACCAATCTCTACAGATGTACAGTGGAGGCAGCTCTAGGGACTATTGGTTTATAGTTTTGGGCTTCAGCATTCAGTATAAACTTGCTTGAAGCTCACTGGCTGGCGTGAAAGTTTGCGTGTTAGCATTGTGTAGTATGTGTTATTCTAGTCTGGTTTTGCATTCATTTGGTTTAGGCGTCAGTTGAGGCTAGCCTGGGGTGCAATGGGTTCTAGCAATACAACAATATGAGGTTAATTCTGTCTTGGGATTCAGTTCTTTTGCATAAATGTAACATATTGAAAACAGATTTTTAAGTAACAATTCCTGCCTGCTAGAAAGGTAAAGTATCCCACTTCCCTGGAGAAGTAGCAGGTTCTGTGTGGATTGGTGGAAGAGTTGAAAGACTGCCTGAAGTTGTTCTGAGTGTTATACTTCTTCCCTTTTTTAACAGCTGACTTATCTCAGGTGTGGCCAGAGGCTAATCAGCACTTTAGCAAAGAAATAGATGATGAGGCAAACAGCTACTTCCAGCGTATTTACAACCATCCACCGCATCCGACCATGTCTGTGGATGAGGTGAGTTCCCTTCTGTAGCAGTTGCATCACTTGCTCAGAGACTTGCCGTGCATTTGATGGTAATTATTCCTTCGTGTATTAGTTCAGTGGAAAATAATAAAGGGCTAGTGGTGGATGCTTGTGGCACTGCTTTTTTGCCTAGTTGCAGTTAATAAAGTAAATTGAAAGCATGTTGCCTTAGAAATATACGGAGTAAACTTGAAGCTGATCATTACGTTCAACTTTGAATTCTGTGGACTGAAGACTTTAGATGTCTAACACTCCTAAAATACGCTAAGTAGAAGGAGTTCAGTGTGGAATGGAAGCTTGTGTATTCAAAATAAGTTGTAAAAAGTGTGCACAGTCTGTATAAATTGCACTTATTTTGAATACATTTGTTTTTAAAGTATCTGAAAATGACTGCAACTTCTACATATGTAAACCTGTCAAGTTCTGCCTTCTGTATTTTGATAATTATTTTGCTTAGTCTCTGAGAGTAATTATTGGTCTAATGTACTTGCTTTCTGAAGTACTTCAGATTTATGTTGATATATATATTTGTGTGGTTATTTATGGAAGGCACTGAACATTAATTTTCGTGTTTCTGATTTTGAAGCAATGGAGTAGGCAGTCCCCAAAAAGTTTTATGTGAGACAGTTACTTAAAAGAAGGGGTAGAGAACTAAAGTCTGAAGATGAAGCTTGTCGTAGAGATGTAGTTATTTTGCAGTCTAGTTTGTGGTAGTGCGATATACCTTAGTAGGTGCAGGAGCTGGTGAAACCTGTAGATGCAGAAGGGCTGAAAGAAAGCAAATCTGTTGGTAACAGTTTCCAGTTTCTTTGCAGGTCTTGGAAATGCTGCAGAGGTTTAAGGACTCCAACATTAAACGAGAACGAGAAGTGTTCAATTGTATGCTGAGGAACTTGTTTGAGGAATACCGTTTCTTTCCCCAGTACCCAGATAAAGAGCTGCACATTACAGCCTGCCTCTTTGGTGGGATAATAGAGAAAGGACTGGTTACTTATATGGCATTGGGCCTGGCCCTGCGCTATGTTCTTGAAGCCTTACGAAAGCCTTTTGCATCCAAAATGTACTATTTTGGTATTGCTGCACTAGATAGATTTAAAAATAGGTGAGTGTGGGGTTTGGGCATATTTGTAACAGTACATGTCTTGTTAACCTTGAACCTGCTCTAATTATGCAGTACAGTATTGCTTGTATGTGTTAAAAATTCACACATCTCAACTTCAGGATTGCTTTAAAGATACACTGAGCTGAAACAAAATGTGCTAGTTAAAGCATGGCTTTAAAAAAAATGAAAGTTCGGTGTGGTACCTGTATAAATGTGGGACAAACTGAGATGCTGAAATGACGTAGTGAACTTTGTTTATAAAAGTAGTTCAGTGAAGTGTTGAATTAGATGAAGTTGTCAGCTTGTTAGAAAGGGGTTGAATGTCATTACTCTTTACAGGTGTATTCTAATGGAGTGCTATTTGCCCCATTCCTTACTGAAAGACTGTCTAGGAACTAAGCTGGAGGACTTTGGTTTTACACAGAAATCTCAAGTATGGCAAAAAGTATCTCAAAAAAAAATTTTCTCAAAGCTTTTAATGGATTGCAGTTAGAGGAAGCTCTCAGGGCAGGCTGTCATAGTACACCCATGGGAAAAATCTCCATTCTGGAAGAAGATACTTGAGCTTGAAAAGTATTAGAAAGCTTCCGGAAATTATTTAATGACTAGAAATGTGTGGACTTGAAGTGTGGACTCATAAACAAGGAGCACATTATCTTCTGTTCTTATTCTCCTTTCATAGTTCATCTGCCCTGCAGTATTTAATCTGTAATCAAAGCTGCATTCCTGGCAGGAATGGAACTCCACAGTTGTTGTGGAGTTAGCTGAATGGGATGAATAAAGACACTTGCGGCTGACATACTTGAGACTTTGCCACCATCATACTCCTCTTAAGAACCATTTTAAGCCGGACACAGAGATTTTACTCTCAATGAGTAGTAACAGCATCTAGCATTCATAAGTAGAACCATAATAATTGGTGTGCGTAGGTGAAGCTTCTGTCTTGGGTGTTAGTGGCACTCTGGTTTGCTGTTTAAAATGCACTGAGCCAGAATACCAATTACTTACCCAATAGTCTTATTGGAAACACTGAATGTAACTGCAATTGTGTGCTCGGTCAGAAGTATCATGATGTAGGATATGACGAATTGCTGTGAATAAACCTTGTGTTTTGCTGTTAAATGAATTCCTTTCAAATGAGTTTTGCAACAAAAAGTACTTTGTGGAAAATGCTTTGTTTATAGCGTAGCTGCTGTAAGCAGTCCAGAAGTAATTCTGTGATGCAGTATGTCATTCCAATGTTATATTTATATTTCTCTGTAGTACTGTTTTTGATCTGGGCTTATGTTTCTGACTAATGCATACTTTGTCTGACAGATTGAAGGACTATCCCCAGTATTGTCAGCACTTGGCTTCTATTAGTCACTTTATACAGTTCCCACATCATTTACAGGAGGTACGTGTGTTCATGTTAGCATACTAGCTTTAAGATTTTTAATTCTTTTGAGCAAATTCCTGTTTTCCTTTGGAAAAATAGTCTCAGTTGTCACAATATAGGCAGTGTACATCTCCAGAATCAAATGCCTTTTCTTAAAGGTTTTGCCATGGGATGGGGTGGGCAGGTGAAGGTGGTTATCTGGTACCTCTTCTGTTTCTATAAATCTGTGTGGATTGCTTATGTGGAAATAGCTGCCTGCATATAACCACACGATAAACAGCACACATGGCCATGCACAAAGGTTTTAAAGTGCTTTGGTGGATTCATATTCTAGTCCCTTAAGGATTTGGAGTTTTCCTCTAAAATAGAGGGCATTCAGCTTGGTTTATGCAGTTTCATACTCAAACCTGCTAAAATAATCAAGAAAAAGTGAGAAAAATCTCATTCCTGAAGAGGTCTGATCAGAGTAATGGGAATACCCTGCAGTCCAGAGCAGTGTTGGTCATATGGCGTCTGCCTCAAAAGTGCTTTCATTGGTGGAAATACGGAAAAGCTAATCCCAGTGGCAGAGCTTCAGAGCATAATCCAAATAAGGAAAAACATTCAGCTCTCACATTAAGGTAGAGAGGCCATCTACCCAAAGCTGTGAAGTCCAATAGCAGTCTCAGTTTCACTGAAAGGTTTCAGACTGCCTCTGTTAACTGCCAGTGTGTTGTCTGATGTTACCAATTTCTGGGTAAATGTATTACAGTGGAGAAGAAACTAATTTTCTACTGTGGAGCTACTTTAGAGGATGTAAAATCTTAAAGTTGGCCATTTCAGAACTGTGGTTTTGCTTATTAGTTGTGAACTTCGGCCTTTCCTGTTTCTCTGTAGCTGGAGGAGTCCTTGGGGAAGACTTCTTACCTGCTGTGTAGCCAGTTTCTTGACACTCGCACATTTCTCTTAGGCTCTTTCCCCTCTTTTACTCCACTATCCCAGGACTTCGGGGATGGGGGGTTTTGGGTAGTGCTCTGTAAAATTTCAAGGATGTCAAGTCTCTTGACGCTTAGCATCAACCAAGATGTGCTTTATAAGGGTGGACAGCTGTAGTCTGCAGATTCCCTTAATGGCATTAGTGTCAAGTATTTTAAAGATTGTTGGCAAACCTTTATACTGCTTATGCTAAGGCAACCTGTAGTTCTGTTGCTGCATGTGAACTTTTCTCTGTGCTTGTTCACCCTGTTTCAGTACATAGAATATGGACAGCAATCCAGAGATCCTCCTGTGAAGATGCAGGGTTCAATCACCACCCCTGGAAGTATTGCACTTGCCCAGGCTCAGGCCCAGGCCCAAGTTCCAGCAAAAGCTCCTCTTGCTGGCCAAGTCAGCACTATAGTAACCACCTCAACCACCACCACTGTTGCAAAAACCATTACAATCACTCGACCAACTGGAGTCAGCTTCAAGAAGGATGTGCCGGTAAGCATTTTGTCACTCCAGTGGCCTTAGTGGAGAAGCAAAGGAGTTATGTTGCTGCTCTGAGTTGATTACATATAGACAAATTCAGATTTAATTTCTGTACCAAAGGTTTTCAAACTGATCCATATGCTATATCTAAAGTATATTACCTTTTAAAATATGACCAACATTTTTGTAGAGAGAAGGCATTTTTGATCACGAACCTGTCGAATTACAATGGTGTCTAGTAGAAGTGTGTTTATTGAGGTTTTAATTATCAAGACAATTATAGAACCATTGTTTCTGTTAGTGACTTGCAATAGGACTCTTGAAATAGTTGGCAGCTGCTGTTCTGCTTGGGGCTTGAGAACCCTTACTACACACTAAATGCCATTTGACCTAGCAGTTCTAACTGCATTAGGTTTTTCAGATCTTTACTCACGTAAACATGTCTCTGAACTGCTAGTCAGAGTTATTACAGGGTTGGCAGATGGATGGTATTGGCTATTCCACAGAAAGCGTCGGGGCACACTTGGTCCTGTGTGTATGCTGAGGATGTATAGAGCTGTTACTGCGGGATACCTGATGCCCTGTAAATCAAGTCAAGTCGGTCTTCCTTCCTGGTACTGCCTTTGTATAGTTCTCTTAAAAGAAGCTCCTTAAATTAAAGGAGGCGAAAGCCAAAGGTGGCTGAAAGCTGTGAACAACTGTTGGGGGCCAGTTCACAGTGTAGCTGTCAATGTCTTTTACACCCAGTTATGTCTCATAGACAGTTGTTGTTAAGAAGCATTTATATTGCCTGATTTTAAATTCAAGTTGTGATTGGTATTTTTCCCTTTCATTGCAGTGTGCCAGGTAGTAAAGCCCTTGGGTTTAGACCTGCAGTGTAGGGACATGGGTCACATTCTGTTGGCTTACAGCTGGTGTGCTTTCTCAGGAATGAACCTCTGGGATTTCTCCTTCCCAGTTCAGCACTGCAGTGCTCCTGGAGACTTGCTGCTGTACTAAGCACTGCTCACTGTTGTACTATGATTTTCTCTACGCTGACATGGTGTGCAGGCTGTCAGCCTCATGGGTTCTGTTGCAGTGGCACCTGTTGTATATGAATGTAAATGCTAGAAGTTTTTTATACTTCTGAGGTACTGATCATTGTTTGTAGAGTAAAAAAACCTACTTGGCTTCATTAGAGTGCTGCTGAAAATGAATCTGAGACCGTAGATGCCACCTGACAAAGGTCAACTCTTTTTTTGCTTGACATAACAGAGCAAAAGTTTATTTTGATGTCCCCTCTAGGTATTGCCTGTTGTTAATTTCTTGTTCTCCCTCCAGCCTTCCATTAATACTACCAACATTGATACGCTGTTAGTAGCAACAGATCAAACAGAGAGAATTGTGGAACCTCCAGAGAATGTCCAGGAAAAAATTGCTTTCATCTTCAATAATCTGTCTCAGTCAAATATGACACAGAAGGCAAGTATGGAAGAACACTAGTACAACTTTTTTTTTTCATATTTCTGGAAATCCATTCTAAAGTGGTGGGTGATTATGTTTCTGCAGAAATGCCCAACTGCAAAAAATTAGGAGGAGGAGGGAGCAAATAATAGTTTTCAACATGTTCTACTTGAACCTCTTTGAAGATACAATTTTTCAGGGAAAGGAGAGGCAGGTGAAAGCAAGCTATTCTTAATCTTGCATTCTCCTACATGTTTCCTTGTTTCCCTGTAGCCAAATCCTTTGTACTAAAGTATTGTAGGTCTGTAACGCTTTGTTTTCAGGAAAGCATTTCTAGTAGATGCCTGGAATAACTGCTGGATAAACCTTTCTGATGTTTGTCAGTTGAAAGGACTGAAAAATACTAATGAAAGTTTTTGTAAAAAAACATAATGCAAGTTTGAACAAACGTTCACATCGTAACTGGGCTGGATACCATTTAAGGTTAAGCTGATGGACTCCTGCATTTCAAGCTGAAATTTAGGGAATTTTTTCTGAACTAGTAGAAATCTGTGGTACTCCTGCCACCTGTGCCATCTGTCTTGGGGCAGACAGCTTTTATATGAGATGCTGACATTTATTTTGCAGTTATCAGGTAAAAAGCTGAGCAGTGAGGGAGAGGTAAACTACTGTGCCTCACTCATTTTATGATGAAGTCCTTGCTGGTCGACAAGATAAAAAAAGAATCCAGAAGTTTGTGGTCATCTCATATTTTCTGTGGTGGTGCTTTTCCTCTGGTGTGGAGACAGGTTGAAGAATTGAAGGAGACAGTGAAAGAAGAGTTCATGCCTTGGGTATCACAGTATCTCGTGATGAAGAGAGTCAGTATTGAGCCTAATTTTCACAGCTTATATTCGAACTTCCTTGACACACTTAAGAATCCAGAGTTTAATAAAATGGTTCTGAATGAAACCTACAGAAATATCAAGGTGAGTAGTGCAAGGTTTCTAATATTTAGCTAGATTTAAAGATTAAAGGTGTGCTTTGCCTTTCTCAGGCTGTTTGCTTACCATGTTGCTGAACTTCAAATATGGAATGCTACTCAAAGATCTGCTTGCTAGCTTACAATTGAACTAGTAGGTTACCTCTGACTACTAAGATTCTTCTGTTTTCAGTCAGGAATGTACCAAAGACTTAATTCTAACTTGAGTGAGCAGGCAAATCTGCATTTGAATTCATTTATGTAGGTGGACTCCAAATTTGTGTGAGGCTTGCAAATTATAACCCAGGGGAAAATTGCTTATGGTCTAGTTCTTTTATGTGGGGAAAGTATAAAGATTAAAAAAACTATTCTTTCTGCTGGTTTGGTCAAAGAAGAATAAAGGGCAGGGGGAGGATTTAGAAAGTGGGGGTATAACAACCAAAATTCACTAGAGGGCTAAGATAACATGAAGGGGAGGAGGAGGGAGAAATGGTAGCCCAGAAGAGAGGAGTGGATGAAACAAGTTTGTCAAGCAAGCACTATTTTTAAACCTGTTGGTGGAATTTCCTGACCACCGTGGGTTACGCTGTAGTGCAAAAGAATCTCCTGGCTCTTTAGAGCATAGCTGACCTTGCTCTGTTCAGCTAGTGCTCCTCTGAAGCTGAGGAACAGAACTAACAGCAGAATACTTGTGACAGGATTTAAGTCTTGACATGAGAATTAAATGTCTTCCCAAGAAGTGCAAACTGTAGCCTTCAGGACTGATGAAGCATGAAGATGAAGTATTGCCTTCACAAGTTACACTTTGCTAACGAGTCATAACAATCTTGACAGTGTAATCCTCTCTTTGATCCTCTTGAAAGAAAGGACTTTTGAAATCATTGCAGGGCAGATTTACGGGGTGCTGCCTTGAAGTGAAGGCTGCTCTGGAGTATCTCGGTAATGTGACTGAAGCACAGAACTTAATGTTCTAAAACTTTACATCTTAAGTTATATCAGCTGTTGGATTTGGGTTTGAGTCTGATTATCTTCCAGTTGTTGTTTGAGTTGGTGGTTTTTTTTTTCATTAGGTGCTGTTGACATCAGATAAAGCTGCGGCCAACTTCTCAGACCGTTCCCTGTTAAAGAACCTTGGTCACTGGCTGGGAATGATTACTCTGGCTAAAAATAAGCCCATCTTGCACACGGTGAGCTTCTGTCTTTGCAGATTTGTTTGGCATGAATTGGCATGCTGTTATGCAGTAGCATAGGCTATTTGGGAAATTTTATCACCTTCCTGGTGCCTCTTTTTTGTGTGCTAAATACAATATATGATTCCAAAGTTGTTCATTTAAGAGTTGTAAATCTTTTTATATCAGACAAGTTGTTAGTTAAGTTCTTGCCAAAAATAAATTAATTAATCCCATGTAAAAATGTGTATCTGTAAATCTTTGTTCAAAAAGTAACTGCTGCCTAGCAGTCTATAAAACTCAAGGACTGTATTGACTCAACCTTACCAATACATCTGATGAGGAAATAGTGTGTAAGTGGAATTTTTGCACTGTGTGTGCTGTTTTCTCCACCTTCTTCCCCTTCTCAATTGTTGATGGTATTTTTCAGGATTTGGATGTGAAATCACTGCTACTGGAAGCATATGTTAAGGGACAGCAGGAGTTGCTTTATGTAGTGCCATTTGTTGCCAAAGTCTTAGAATCCAGTGTCAGAAGTGTGGTAAGTGATTTTGTGCTGACACAGTTACTGCTTAAGTGGAAAAATAAGTATTGCAGAAAGTAGTTAGCTTTTCTCATAAAGTGAAAACTGATTGAATTATAATGGAGAGAAAAATCAGGGGTGCAAGAGCTTAAAGGAAAGGAGTTTTGTTTTGAGGGCAAGTGCATGGCCCATGCATTTTTGCTGTCTAAATAGCTGGTGTTAGCTGAACTTTCCTGTGGTATCCCTGAACAGAACTCTGAGAAGTGGAAGGATGTAATTGAAGGGGTTCTAGGATCTATTTATACTTTGTTTTTGGTTTTTTTATTCCCCCTGCCCCTTTGACCCTTATCAGCTCTTGTCAGTTGTGCTTGATATTGAACTGATCCCTCAGAAGGATGAAGTTATTGTGTTTCCAGTTTAATGTTCAACTAATATAGTTCCAGTCAATCAGAATACTAAATTCAACCCTAATTGCAGCTGCACAAACTTTTCCATGGCTGTATGCACACATGGCTGTTTATGTTTCAAAAATTTCCAGTCATAAGTTATCCAAATGATTTAAGAAGTTTGTGTAATACTGCTCTCCTCTTTCTCTTGTAGGTCTTCAGGCCTCCAAACCCGTGGACAATGGCCATTATGAACGTTTTAGCTGAGCTACATCAAGAACATGATTTAAAAGTAAACTTTTGGTTTTTTTCTTTTCTATACCTACTGAGTGTGAGGTTTTCTTGACGTACCAGTCAAGAAGGATGTAGAGAAGGACCAATTTCACTTCTTGCTGTTTTAGAGTGGGGAGAATTGGGCATTGCTTAATTTGGTGAAACTTGGATGAAACTCTTCTCCTGTGAGGTCAGCGTGCAAGATATTTGTCTAATCCTAAGTCACTATTAAAGTCTGTAAAAGGCAGGGGATTAGAATGGGAAGTCTGGGGGTCGAGTGGCCCAGTAAACGCTTCAGGTATTTTTCTTGTGACATAACCTAAACTGGAATTGTTGTGCAGTTGAATCTGAAGTTTGAGATTGAGGTGCTCTGCAAGAATCTTGCACTAGACATCAATGAGCTGAAACCTGGAAGTCTCCTGAAAGATAAAGATCGTCTGAAAAATCTGGATGAGCAGCTGTCTGCTCCAAAGAAGGATGTGAAGCAGCCAGAAGAGCTACCACCCATCACAACAACTAGTAAGTACATTTCATATAGAATCCAGAAACTATAGAAGTTTAAGCAAGACGGGTTATGCTATTGCAAAGAAAAATGTGAAGCTACATATAATTGGATAATTTTGTAGTAGAAGTGGGTGTACAGAGTTTGGATTAATTCTACATGTGCTGTGTGTAGCCACTCCATAGAATGGAGTGAAGCAGGATAGTCTATTAACAAGACATCAGGGGCTAAACTGTGTCATAACAAATAGCTCTGCTAAAATGTGCTGGAGCTAGTTTGGTACTAATCACTGGGAAAATGGAGAATAAAAATGGCCTGATAAGCTTAGGAGACTTCATGATCAACCTTTTGTTTCTTGGTGACTTGCTGGTTTAAAAGGGAAGTATATACTTCCTTTATAAGCACTTGTTTTTCAGTAATGGTTCAATACAAACATTCTTGTATTCCATAGCTGCTTCAACAACTCCAGCTACCAGCACCACTTGTACAGCCACGGTTCCTCCACAGCCCCAGTACAGTTATCATGACATCAATGTCTATTCTTTAGGAGGATTGGCTCCACATATTACCTTAAATCCAACGGTAAGTTTTCGAGCTGATTTTGGTTTGCTAAAAGAATTCTTACCACCAATGCTCCCCCAGCTGAGATCTGTGGCAACAGCATTTTTTAAACTGAAGTTAGTGGAGACTTCATATCTCAAAAGTATTGGGGAGGGTGAGTGCTAACAAGTAATCAAATGGAGAAATTTAAGGGTGGTTAATAGTTAATGTTAGCTAACAATTTCACATGGTCAGGTGATCTTTCACTGACATTTCCAGTAGTATCCAACTTATTTCTGGCAATAAGTGTCACTTGGCATAGCTGCTATCAGGTTTTAAGCTTAAAAGTAGCTTCCTTGCTCTTTTTGATCAGTCACTGACTTAGCTATTAAGTTAGTCTTTGCATGGCGTTCAGCTGCAGCTTTGGAAGAAAAACAGTGAGATATCCCAGTTTCAGGATTATCAAACTGATATTGTAATAGCTGCGTATGGAACAGAAGATTGCTGCACTGTAGGCAAGCTGTGACAGTACACTTTAAAGTTGATTGGAAAATGGGAATGTCTAGAGTATATGGGCTTCTAGTTTACATCATTCTCACTTAACTTTCTAATCCTCCTCCAGATTCCACTGTTCCAAGCCCACCCGCAGCTGAAGCAGTGTGTGCGGCAGGCAATAGAGCGAGCAGTGCAAGAACTTGTCCATCCGGTGGTTGATCGGTCCATTAAGATTGCCATGACTACATGTGAGCAGATAGTCAGGAAGGACTTTGCACTGGATTCAGAGGAGTCACGAATGCGTGTGGCTGCGCACCATATGATGCGGAACCTAACTGCTGGGATGGCCATGATTACCTGCAGGGAACCTTTGCTGATGAGCATAGCTACCAACTTGAAAAATAGTTTTGCTACTGCACTGAGAGTAAGAGTCACATCATCTGAAGCTTATTTCCAATTTATAGGACTGTAGACATCCAGCATTAGCAAATCAGTTCTCCAGACTGTAGACTTGTTGATGAATTACATGGTTTAACTAGTGTGGGGATGAATTTAGTGGACAAGTGTCTCATGACTCTTGTGGAATTACAGTGAAAAATCTGTGCTGAGATCACAGATCATGTCAATCACTTAAGCCTGTAAGGTGAATCTTAGTATGTTGCACACAAACTTCCTGACTACCTTTTATTTTGACCCAATGTTGTCTCCAATTTGATCATATCAGCCTTCCAAGAAGCCTTGGAGTGCTTATCTTTCTGTTGGTTTTGAGGTAGAAAAGCTAGAGTGGGGAGGACTGAACTGATTTGGGGGCTTTCTGGTGATGTCTTGGATTGTTTCAGCATGCATGCTTCAGGCAGATTTTATTTACTTGTGCTGTCAGCAGATACGTAGTTAAGACTGTTCTGCACAACTTGTGAAATGATTGGGTTTTACAGAGGCGATTTTCAGGTCTCTTAATGAACCAAGTTTGAGTTGAAGTGGTAGCTTTCCCTTTTTGACTTAATGGAATAGTTCACAAACTGCTCACCAGAACAGCAGCTGCTACCTGAGATACTTGCTGTGCTTAGCATTAGTGTCAGCAAAAGACACAGGAGCATAAGGATCTTGGAAAGATCAACACATAGCTATCCCTTCAGGGTTTAAAAAAAAAAAGTGAAAGGACTTCCTGTCTCTTGCTAAGGGTGCATTACTAGTTCCCATCTGTCTGGGAGCGACAATGCAAAGAAAGGCCCTTTTGCAGTGGGTTTGCTCTCTTGCGTGGTAACTGGCTCAAGAGGGCAGGACTTAATGGTCTGAAGGGAGCACAAAACACAAGCAAGAATTGCGTCTGCAAGTATGGTATGGAAAGTCTGTGTTTTAACTGCAGGCCTCAAACACAACCCCTCTTGTACAGAACTTCAAATAACTTGATTCCTGAGATGAATAGCAGGAAAAGCATACAAATGAGTCTTGTTTCATCTGTTGTGGAAACAAAGATGGGAGTAAACAGTTTGGGTATTGCTTTGTAAGTAGGTGGGCTGGGCCAGTGACACCTCTTAGCACCTGTGCTAACAGAGGCTAGTAACCATAAAAGAAAGCACTGCTCCTCTTGGTAATCTTGCTGTGTTTGAACAGATGTGACTACAGTTCAGAGAGGGAAGCAACTGGAGAAGTGCTTGTTATCTTTCAGGTGGTATGAGACGGTAGAGGTGTTCAGAGGAGGCCATGGAGATGGTCAGAGGCTGGAGCAGCTCCCGTGCGAGGACAGGCTGAGAGAGTTGGGGGTGTGCAGCCTGGAGAAGAGAAGGCTCCGGGGAGACCTTCCAGCACCTCCCAGTGCTGAAAGGGGGCTACAGGAGAGATGGGGGGGCTCTGGATCAGGGGGTGCAGGGACAGGACGAGGGGGAGTGGGTTGAAGCTGAAAGAGGGGAGATGGAGATGAGATGTGAGGAAGAAATGTTTTCCTGTGCGGGGGGTGAGGCAGTGGCCCAGGTTGCCCAGAGAAGCTGTGGATGCCCCATCCCTGGAGGGGTTCAAGGCCAGGCTGGATGAGGCTTTGGGCAACCTGGGCTAGTGGGAGGTGTCCCTGCCCATGGCAGGGGGTGGGACTGGATGATCTCTAAGGTCCCTTCCAACCCAGACCAGTCTGTGATTCTGTGATGCTCAGGTTGGGGAGGGAGGATGGACACAGACTGGAGTTACAGCTGTGCATATCTACCAGGCATGATGTGCCATGGAAAAATGTGTGTAGGCAGAAGTAATTCAGGTTTTGTGGAAGGCTTAGTGCTGGTGTATTGTGGTGTTTGTAAAAATGTCATAAGCAGTATGAAGACGTAGCAACATAGTCGTGTTTTTTTTTATCCCTGAAGATGTATGAAGTTGGTACAGGGCCAGCTATAATCAAGGTTTTCCTAAGGAGTAGTTATACAAAACATTGTATAGCAGAAGAAAGTGCTGTACAAGACATCACAAAGTTCACATCTGGCTTATTGTATGAAGTGGCTTAACAAGCAAGAACCACTTTCATTTGAAAGAAGCAGTGTAGTTTTCAGGAATTAATGAAATGGAGGTAGATCTTAACGGACAAGGAAATCTAAGGAGATTGGACTGTTTGCGTTTATATGTGTATTCCATTTCTGGTGGGCGTTACTGCTTTGCACACTGGAAAATAAGCCCATCTGTTCAGGGTTCTCTTAAAGCAGACTCCAAGAAGGAAAGAAGAGAATGTGTATCAGAAACGGAACCTACTGCAAAAGGCTTAGGACTACTGTTCAGCATTGTTAGTGATGCACCTTTATATCTTCTGATTACAACCTAGGCAGTGGAAAAGCTTTGAAGGCTGTGATGCAAGGCTTGCTTTTCCTGCATTAGCATCTGTTGTATGTGCATCAGTTTAAAGAAGGGCTTTATTTCTGTGCCCTGGAGATAGGCTGGTGGAGAAGATGAAGAACCTCCTGCTGTTTTTTTCCTTGTTGAAAGTTTTTACTGTCATCTTGCCTAAGTGTTTTATTCAAAGCTATGCAAAATTATATTTATAATTGTATATTCTATGCCAAGAGAATGCATTCCTAAGAGCATTCCTTTTTATTGCTGGTGGTCTGTATAGGCAGTGGTACAGATTTTAAGGCTAGTAATATACAGGGGAAATTTACAGCCTTCACTGATTATTGTGGTTTTCAATAGGCAGCCTCCCCACAACAGAGGGACATGATGGAGCAAGCAGCTGCCCAGTTAGCTCAGGATAACTGTGAGCTAGCCTGCTGCTTTATCCAGAAGACAGCTGTGGAAAAGGCAGGCCCTGAGATGGACAAGAGGCTCGCAACTGTAAGTATGGGACTGCTGTCTTTTAAAAGTATTGTATGTGCTCATATACATCCATACATTCAAGGCCAGGCTGGATGAGGCTTGGAGCAACCTGGGCTAGTGGGAGGTGTCCCTGCCCATGGCAGGGGGTGGAGCTGGATGGGCTTTAAGTTCCCTTCCAACCCAAACCAGTCTGTGATTCTATGATACTCAGTTTCTAGAATTCACTGTGGTGTTTGGGTTTTTTTCCCCAGGAATTTGAGCTCAGAAAACATGCTAGACAAGAGGGTCGTCGGTACTGTGATCCTGTTGTGTTAACTTACCAGGCTGAGCGGATGCCAGAACAGATCAGATTAAAGGTGAGGATTTTAGCTGAGCTACATTCTGATGGTGCTCTTCTCCCCCTCCTGATAATGAAAAATGGATGGTGCAGCTTCAGCTGTTCAGTTGTTACCCTTGTCTAACACTGCAGCTGGTATTAGCTTGATTAGTAATGGAAACACATGAATATGTTGTTTCAAAATGAGTGTTCATAGCATTTTCCTCAGTTTCCTTGTCTCTTGTTCTGGGCTGTTCCTTTCACTGAAAGATGACTAGTCTGTTTCGTTGTCTTGTCTCCTTAGTATTTCCTTCCCTAAAAGGACATACCATGTGCTCTCAGCAGAGCCTCAGGCATGCATGAAGGCTGTATTCTGTTATTCCTGTTTCTGGGAATGTGAGTTGCGGTTGTAGAGCAAAATCCTCCTGTTTGAAGGTGTGTCAGGAGAGAGAGGACCTCATTGCAGAGCAGCTGAATCCTACTTCTTGATGTCTAGGTCACTCTGTTTAGGAATGTGACTGAGCAGCTGCCTGTTACACAAACTACCCTCATTTCTTACTGCCGCGGTGCTTAACAATGATGTTAATGCCTGTTCTTTTCCTTGCAAAGGTTGGAGGTGTAGACCCGAAGCAGCTGGCTGTTTATGAAGAGTTTGCGCGCAATGTCCCTGGCTTCTTGCCTACCAATGACTTAACTCAGCCTACAGGATTCTTGGCTCAGCCTATGAAGGTAGAGATTTCTGAGTACTATAGTCCTTCTGGTGAATGTTGCAGAACTTGTGTTGTTTGCTAGAAGAGTAGCAAGAATTGGGCATTCGTATTGCTTGGGAATAGTGGTTGAAAGATGCGTTAGTTTTAAAGACAAACTAATGGCAGCATAAAACTTGTATCCAGTGTTAGGAGTTTGTAATCTCAGTTGGTACAGGTTCTACAAGTTGTAATTACTACGTGTAGTTTTAGTAGCAGTGAAACATTTTATTCCAATCTCAGGTTACTGTTGGGGAAGATCATGGATTTTGAGATAATGAACAGTTTTTTGTATGTATACTTGGTCTTAATGACTGCTAGAATTGTTTGCTGGTTATTTCCACAGGTTAAGTTCCTTATATTTGTGTATTTAAAACGCTAACATAACTAATCACAATACTGTAGGGGTCTAAATTTTGGCTGCTATCATTTCTGAAGCAAGCAAGCCAATCAGTATTTGAATTTTGCAAACACAGGCCTTGAAAAAAAAATCACTCACTCCCACTTTCTCTTAAGCAGCAAGCTTGGGCTACAGATGATGTCGCACAAATCTACGACAAATGTATGACAGAACTGGAGCAGCACCTGCAGTCCATTCCACATACCCTGGCCATGAATCCTCAAGCTCAAGCATTGCGCAGCCTCTTGGAGGCTGTGGTAGTGGCTCGTAACTCCCGTGATGCTATTGCTGCACTTGGACTGCTGCAGAAGGTGAGTGTTAACAACTTTCTCCTGTAACACCTCACTTAGAGTTTATTCCTCATTTGGCTTGTGGATTGTCTTGCTTATGACTGTGTATCTTCGTGCATCCTGTGGAACTTGCTTGGTGAACAAACTGAACAACTGCTGTCTTTAGAAATTCAGTAAATAGAACTAGAAGAGGGCCATGGTGTTCACTTGGTGTACTGTACGCACAGTGGACAAACTGCTGTGGGTAGAAGCAGGTACACAATCCGGGGAGTTTTGTTCAGATGTGGCAAGTTAGAGAGCTTTTGTGGTCCAGAATAGTCTTTGATTTCAGGATGATTTGGAAGCTAAGACATTTGAACCATCCTTGTAGGCAGATGGTATTGAGTACCAAGTACTGGATGTATAGCGGCACAGTTGTGCCTTGTTTTTTGCAGTAATTGCTAAACGACTGTGTGGTGTGTTGAACCTGGCCAACAGCAAAGCATCCATCCAGCTGCTCACTCACTCCCCTTTCTCACAGGATAGGTAGAAAGCAGAGGGAAGGCAAGATAATTTGTTCATGACGATTATGACAGTTTAGTGGGGAAAGCAAAAGCTGTGTGCACAAACAAAGCAAAAAAATAAAAATCACTACTTCCCCTCAGCAGGCAGATGCTTAGCCAGTCCTTGGAAAGCAGGGCTTCAGTGTTTGTAACGTTTGCTTGGGAAGGCAAACATCATAACCATGAGTGTCCCCTTTCATCCTCCTATCCCTGAGCTTTTATTGCTGAGCATGATGTCATATGGTATGGAATAATCTTGTTATTCGCTTTGGATCAGCTGTCCTGGCTGTGTTGCTTCCCAGCCTCCTCACTGGTGGGGGGGGCAGAGTGGGGAAGAGGAAGCCTTGATGCTGTGCAAGTGCTGTTCAGTAATTGGCAAAACACTGGTGTGTTGGTTTCAGCACAAATACAAACACAGCACCATACAGGCTGCTATGAAGAAAATTAACTCCATCCAAGCCAGAACCAATAGACTGTACGACGTGGGGAGTGTTGCCGTGAGCTCTGTGAGCTGAGCTGACATCAGTGTCTGTGTAGTAGTGCAGAGTGTAGTGCCAGATGTGGAGAAGAATCCTTTTTGGGTATAGTAGAAGGACACTGAACTGTCTGCATGAGGATGCAAGAACAGCGGCAAAACAAAAGTAACTGGAAGCTGGAGGGAGGCTCTTTGTTCTTGACTGATAGTGCTCGTACCTACTAAAGGATCTAGTCCTGACCAGGATTTGACCAGGTAAATTGTGCTGCCACTGTAAAAGATTCATCTTCTATTTGCTATAGAATAGCACAGATACATCTGAGTGCTGCAGCTGCTTGTCTAAAGAACCTGATAGCTGACCTCTGGCAGGTTCTGTAAATTTTCTTTCATGTAGTTTTTCGTGAGTCATATGCAGAAGTGGCTATGAGGAGGCATTGACTTTCAGAGGCTGCAGCACAAACTAAAGCGCCGTTTCATAGTTTAGCGCATATATGAAGCCAGTGGGGCGTAGTGAGACTGTAAGCTTGTTTGTCAGTGAGCTACATGCTCATCCAGTGAGCATGTAGCTGCTGTAGTAGCTGGTAAAATCTCACATAGCCTTATCAGGGAGTCAGCACAATAACTAAATTGTCTTTTGCATCTCTGCCAAGTCTTCTGGTGTTAATTCTTGCTGATAGAATTTGCAGATTTGGAAGAGGACTTGTTTTTTCCTCTGCTAACAGGTTGCATCTATTCTAGGCTGTAGAGGGCTTACTGGATGCCACCAGTGGGGCAGATGCTGACCTCCTGCTTCGCTATCGTGAATGTCATCTGCTTGTGCTGAAGGCTCTACAGGATGGCCGCGCATATGGATCTCCGTGGTGTAATAAACAAATTACGAGGTCAGTTATGAGACAACAGGAACATTGATGTAGCTATCATCATCTTTTGGGATCTACTGTGTTGTTGTGAATCACTTTTGGACAGATGATACTGTGCGTTGCTGCAGTTTTGACAGACAGAAAACAACTAGCTTTTTTGTCAAAAGTATCTAGATCTTTTGATAATGTTGCTTCATCACAGAACATGATAGGAATCTTTAATAGAATTAAGCATTAGAGATGCTCTGGGTGTTGGGTTTTTTTTCCTCATTTTATAGAGAATGTCTGTGTGCTGTCACAAACTAGGTGATGTGATATTTGCCCACAGCAGAAGCTCTAGTGCTTCAGCTAGACAGATATGCTACTTTGTCCTTGGAAGAGAGGTGCTTATGGTGAATAAACTTGAAGCTCTTGAAGGGCTGTTGTGGCCAGTTGTGCAGGGAAGCAAATGCTTGAGGCTGATGACTGTTCCTGAACTCAAACATTATCTTAGAGAATGCTCTAGAAACAGCTTCTTTTGGAGCTAAGTCATGACTCTCAGTGAATGACACAGGTTCTGAAGTGTTAATTTGAGTTGCTTTGCTTAAACTGTGTTGTTTAAGTAACTTGTTAAAAGAAGGCCAATTCTTCAGGTGCCTGATTGAATGCAGAGATGAGTACAAGTACAATGTGGAAGCTGTGGAGCTGCTAATCCGCAACCACCTGGTTAACATGCAGCAATATGACCTTCACTTGGCTCAGGTAAAGGGAACCTGCTCTTTTGGAGAAGAGTTATGGTCAGTTCATTGTAAGATAGGTGGTTGAACTTTAATTGCCCTTTTTATGTTGACAGTCAATGGAGAATGGCTTGAACTACATGGCTGTGGCATTCGCCATGCAATTGGTAAAGATCCTGTTGGTTGATGAGAGAAGTGTCGCCCACGTAACAGAGGCAGATTTGTTTCACACAATTGAGACACTCATGAGGATTAATGCTCATTCCAGAGGAAATGCCCCAGAAGGGTGAGACTGAAATCCTGTGCAATATATGACTTCTCTTGTGCTCATTTATGATTTGAAATGTTATATGGGCAATATCTCATATCATTCAATCATATAGCTTTAAATTTTCTCTAGGGCTGCAGTCCTATGTTAGTTTAAACTATTATTCTAATGTAATTGCATTGATTTTGTGTCAAAAGAGAGGCAGCTGCAACATGATTTCAAACTCGGTGCTTGAGTAGGAAAATCTGTCTGTGCACTGTGCTCCAAAATACTGTGGTACTGTGAGAAACTCACTTGAATTCCTCTTTATTGCATATTTAGGCAGTATTCTTACCTGTTTAAATTGTAAATATCTAGGTGTTAATAGGGTTATTTGTTAATCACCACCAGTTCATCAAATTAGACAATCATTTCTGTTTCGTTAGACAATTTTCTGTTTAGAATCTACAAAACAATCATCTACCAGTCTCACATGGCTTGTGTATCCACCAGCAGATAACTGGCAGCAAAGGTTGCCACAGCATCTGGAAATACCTGTGGGCCTCCTGTTTCTGAGAGGGAAGCAATTGCTGCTGGGTTTGAGAAGGACAAGGATTGGAGCTTGGAGAACTCCGAATTTCTGTGAGAGCAACCAGCAGCTGGCTGGTGGTGGCGGTGGTGTTTGGCGGGCTGGTGGGGGGGGTGGTGGCTGCCGCTGCCAACACAGCAACTGCTAGTGGGACTTGACTTTCACTGCTTACAAATTACAAAGTGCCCCGGTCAGGCTGTTTAGCACCGACATCTCACTATCTCAGAGGGTTTTAGGGCTTCCAAAATCTGCAAAGATTAAGCTATTTCTAGTACTTGTGGTGCGTTGTTGCAGCACACGGCCACAGGAATTGGAGTGGAACTTCAAAGCTTGTATGACTTAAGTGTTCCTTCTTTCATCATAAATGTATCTGCTTTCATGGGTGACTTCTCCTATTCCAATGAGGATTGGGAGATAAGAGGAGTTAGTATAAGAAATAATTTGCTTTTTTTCAATTATTTTTGACTGAGCTCCCAGTTCACGTACCTTCCAAGGGAGGAGAAATTCTAACCCAGCTCTTGCTCCGGTCTGTTGCATTAGATTACCCCAGCTGATGGAAGTGGTCCGATCAAACTATGAAGCAATGATTGACCGTGCTCATGGAGGTCCCAATTTCATGATGCATTCAGGAATTTCCCAAGCCTCTGAGTATGATGATCCGCCCGGTCTGAGGGAGAAGGCAGAATACCTGCTGAGGGAGTGGGTGAACCTCTACCATTCCGCTGCAGCAGGCCGTGACAGTACCAAAGCATTCTCTGCGTTTGTTGGACAGGTAGAGCTTTTGGAAAGAAAGGTGCTTTTTATTCAACATAAGTAGGGTGTGATGCCCTCCATTTTAAAGCAGTGTTATAACCCATGTTAGGCATCCTTTTGAAACTTTCAGGTGTATTTCAGTTGACTATCAAAATGTTGGCTGTTTTTGATGGTTCTGTAGAAACCCTTACCCTTCACCAAACCGTGTTCTTGAGATACTGGAGCAACAGGCAGTCATTTCAGATCATGAGTTTTGGGTTAAGTCTGGTGGGAAAAGAACTTCATCTATTGGGAATAGTTCTGAAATGCTCCATGTATAACGTTGCTCCTCACAGGTAACAGTAAAAGTTCTGACAGCCTACAGAAGGAAATTGCTACTAGATAGAGATGCAGGTGAATTGTTCCAGACCATGTGAACAGGGAAAAATCCTTTTTCTAACTGGAATAATTAGAGTGAGGGGAAAACTTAAAGCTAAAGTGGTGCCTAAATTTAAGAAGCCTCCAACATTTCACTCATGAGCACTTTAACAGGGGTGATGAACAGCACACATCTGCCTGCCAGGTGTGACTGAGAAGGGAGATGCTGTCAGTGACCCAGCATGTGTGGTAACAAACTCCCTGTATATCTGCAGTCATCTTCCCAAAGCTGGCTTCCTGGCAGCCCCTTGACTGCAGCTTTAAGGAAGCCCTTGACTTAGTCTATTTGCATTGTGTTCTTTTTAAATTTCCATGTTAATACCATAGAAATACTACAGATCTTGCAGCTACCAACCACACAGAAGGTCAAGCTACAGAGTATGCATAAAGATCTTGACTGATGCAATGATTTTTCACGTGACTTTAGTGTCCTCATGTACTGACTTGTAGACAGCTTTCTGTTGGTCTGTCTTCCGCTGCTTAATGTCTTTTTAAAATGTTGGGTCTTGTGTTAAACCCACTTTTTAAAAAAAGTTTTACCTCTTTGTGGGATCTCACTTTTTAAGCCTTAAAGTATACTTGTACAGCATACTTCAGTATAGTGCACTTTTGTCCTGCTTCACTCTTTCATCACACTTGTTTACCTTTTGTACCTACTTGATCAGATTTGAAATAGCAATTGTAATATATCGAAGTGCAGTGTTTATATTTGTTTTCCTTACAGGCTTTAGTTACAGGGTTTAAAGAAGTATTTTGTAATAACTGCATTAAACAAGGTCTGATTACTGAACTAAAATGACCATAATTTTGGCTGCTTAAATTAATTATTGCTTCCTTTACACTAGTCTTTAGGACAAGAAAGAACATAGAACTTTGAAGACATATACATTAATTCCTTTCTTTTTAAAAAAAAAAATTTCAGAAGTACTAGAAGCTCTCTAAGAATTAGCAAGTATGCATTTTATATAGCTTCATGTCTTTGCAGTAGGAGTTTTGAAGAAAGATGCTTTATTCAAAATCCAGAGGCTTCCTGCAGTGTAATTTGTTTCATTTTGATGGCTTTAATACTGTAGGTAACAAATAAAGAGAGGTCTCTTTTTTGATACATACGTTATTAAGAAACAATGGCACCATCCTCTCCAAGGAAAAAAAAAAAACCACCTCCCAGTCTTTCTCTGCATGTTATGTTAATGTAAGGAAAATTCCCTATCCAAATGCAGTTTGCATCTACAGACTGTTGCTAGAAAGTAGTGATGGTTCCTGAGTTTGGTAGCTGAAGTCTGCCATTCCCAGAGCTGAGTGCCTAAACTGAACTGCTGCTGCCTCTTCCTGTCCTTCGTGCGAGGTTGAGTGCTGGTGGCAGAACTGATACTGAAACAGGCTCCTCAGCTATGCTAACAGTTGGAAAGAACTGGGGTCAAAGGAATCTGTCTTTCCTAAAATTGTGTTGCCACCCTCAAGTTGTCTTGAAAATATTAATCTTGGGGAAGAGTAGCAGAGATAGCTTGCTACATATCTGTCTTGGGTGGTAAAAATTAATTGTGCCAGGCAAGGTGGGGGGGTGTTTTGTAAATTATTGTTTGAAATAGGCTGTAAAATGAACTTTCTCTGGTTATGGTTCTGAGGGTTTTTTGTTTCCTGGACAGATGCACCAGCAAGGAATCCTGAAAACAGATGACCTGATCACCCGCTTTTTCCGTCTCTGCACCGAAATGTGTGTTGAAATCAGCTATCGTGCTCAGGCTGAGCAACAACATAACCCTGCTGCCAACCCCACTATGATTCGAGCCAAGTGCTACCACAATCTGGATGCCTTTGTGCGGCTTATTGCACTGCTAGTAAAGCACTCTGGGGAGGCAACCAACACAGTTACAAAGATCAACCTCCTGAATAAGGTTGGGAGCCTTTTTTGTACTTGTTGCATTTAAAGTGCATGATTTGGTGTACCTTTGCTGATAAATGTGAAACGTAGACCTTAATGCAGGCTACTGCTAAAATATCAGATGGGGACTTTAACAGGTTGCTTGCTGCAGTGATAAAGCGTTGAGTGGAGCATCAGGATGCCAGGTGGTATTCTCATTCACAAAGATTTCATATCAACGAAATTTGAAACTCTCCTTTGTGCCTTAAAACGAAAAAGTCAGCTGCTGTTGTTTTGAGGTATTAGAAAGTGTGGTTTAAGGTTGGTGCTTTCCTGGGTGTCTGCCTTGATTTTGTAGAGAGCCTTGCCTGTACTCTTACACTACCTGCTTTATGGCTAGGTGGTCTTAGGCCTTCCAACACAGCCCAGTCATTGTGACTGTGATCCATGGGACAGGAAGAGCAAAGTATAGTCGCTGGGAGTTGCTGATAGAGATTATAATATTAATTTATGTAATGCTTCCAATAACCAGAATTTTTGATTCTTGTTAGAATCTACTGACTTTTTTTTTGCTGAAGGTTAAAGTATTACCTATAGTCTGACTTGGAAAGTAGTTCTTGCTGTCACCGCTGAAATGTCTTGATCTCTTTAGGTTCTTGGTATTGTTGTGGGAGTTCTTCTGCAAGACCATGATGTTCGTCAGAGTGAGTTTCAGCAGCTCCCTTACCATCGGATTTTCATCATGTTGCTGTTGGAATTAAATGCTCCTGAGCATGTGCTGGAGACCATCAACTTCCAGACACTCACAGCTTTCTGGTGTGTATTTGAGATTGGCCACAATGCTCAATCCTTTCCTGGTAGGATAAAGATTGTTCATCTAAAGGCTAGCTGACTGTTACTTTGTGGTGGCTTAGTCACATTCAGAATAACTGGTTCTCATGTAGACTGTCCACTTGCTTGTTTTAGGGAAGATGACTGGTAAAACCCTAGATGCTAAAATGCCTTGCTTTTAGGGCTGTGTACGTTTTTCCCTCAATGTTATGAAAAGCAATCTTATTGCTGTGCACTTCTAACCTGCTCTAACTTTTCTTTCAGTAACACATTTCACATCCTGAGGCCTACAAAAGCTCCAGGTTTTGTTTATGCCTGGTTGGAACTGATCTCCCATCGGATATTTATTGCAAGAATGCTGGCACATACACCACAGCAGAAGGTGTGGCTGCAGTTTATCTCTTCTGAATTAAAAAGCTTACATGGATGCTTATCTGGTGTGATGCTGTTTCCCATGTTTCACATCTCTCAAAGTGCACTAGTAGCATGGCTGTTCTATTTTTGTTGTCTTCCATATTCACAGTAACCTAACTGCATGGAGGAGAGTCTGTGTCATAAACTGGAATACAGGGTGAATTGAATTTAATAAACATGCCTTTGGCAAAGTCTGGAAGAGCTGTTGGCTAGACCAAAAACTTTCAACTCAGAATGGCATGTTGGGTGTTGTGGAAACACCCGTAGCATATGGCGTGCAGCTGAAGCCCTTGAAATGAGCTGTGCTGCACTTGCTGCTAGAGCTAGCAGTAGGACAAAACTTTGATCAGGTTTATTTGAAAACCAATCTAATTATAGTTTTGAACTTAAGATAACTGCTCTTCATTGCACATTTTCCACCTGCTATTTTTTTCTTGACAGGGTTGGCCCATGTATGCCCAGTTATTGATTGATCTTTTCAAGTACTTGGCTCCTTTCCTTAGAAATGTGGAACTCACCAAACCTATGCAAATTCTTTACAAGGTAAAAAAAGTCAGCTAGTAGATGCTGCTTCCAGCCAAAGCTTTGGTAGCAAAATAGGATTTACTGTTCTTTTACAATTAATTTCTTAGTTAAATGAAATTCTGGTGTGGGGCAGAAATGGCCTATCTTCCCAGATTAATTTCTTCCTGTGAATGTTAACCACATGGCACAGAAGGATGACTCTGCAAGTTCTTGGACAGTTTCAACAGTTACACACCTCTTTTGTATTGTATTTTATTTCACAGGGCACTCTGCGTGTGTTGCTGGTCTTGTTGCATGATTTCCCAGAATTTCTTTGTGACTACCACTATGGGTTCTGTGATGTGATCCCACCCAACTGTATTCAGCTGAGGAATCTGATCCTGAGTGCCTTCCCACGGAACATGAGGCTTCCAGATCCTTTCACCCCCAATCTAAAGGTACGACTGACTTTCATGAGTTTGATAATGGGAAACTTTAACACTCCAGATGTGCTTTATCCAGTTTTTTTGGTGTAGACTGTGGAATTTTGGGAACAGAGTTTTGTGCAGGTTCAACCTGAAAGGATAAGCTGTTGAGAAGTGTGTTACATGAGGACTGCATTGAGAACCTAGCATTTGCATAGAAAACCACAGAGCTTTTGCTTTTTTCAAAGGGAGACTTGACTTGATGGTATCCCTCGATCTAACTGGCATGCAGTGTTGGAGCAAGGACATCTTCAAGGACATCGTTATAATTTTTCTGCCTCATTTGTCACCGAAAAACAGACTGCTTAAGGAGTCTTTGTGGCTTTGCTGTTTGAAAGTTCAGCCAACAGTTCTTGTCTCAGTTTTGTTCGGCTTACACAGAATCCTACAGCTTGTGCTTGGCAGGATGTACCTGGAGTTCAGTTGAGTAATTGTTGAAGAGCTGGTGTCCCAGCCCTGTGTCATTGTAAATAGTCTTTGATGAGAAATGTGGATGCCATCTTAATAAGATAAACCACCATTCTGAAGCAAGCCTCTTGCATAATGGGGAGACTTTGAGAAGTGTTAACCTTATCTAATTAAATCTTTGGGCATGTGCCAGTCTCCTAATTGTGGAAGGATTAGGAGCAAACTTTCTCACCCTGCTCAAGCATTCTCCTATTATTATTCTTGCCTAAGCTATGCAGGGGTGATGGGAGAGAAGCTGCAATACTCATTCAGTTAGCACTTCTTGAAATTGAAGAAAGCTCTTCTTGACTTATGCAGATGTTTGTACCTTTTTTAAACTACCAAACTGTCCTGAGTGCAGACAGGGAGGCTTCAAAGGCAGTGACTGAATTCCCCTACGGCCTTTGCCCTTGAATTCTTTTATCCTGGAGCCTCAGTTCTTTGAGACAGGAGTCATCTAAGACGTTTGCACATTAGAGACCGAGCTTCTTCTGAAATCTTCAAAAATGTAGTGTTTCCTTTTCATTGCTGGTAGGAAAAAGTGATCAACAGCAGTAGCTGATCTAATATAACTTACAGATTTGGTCTTGCGTTTTGTTCCTTTAGATATTACTTATGATTTAGCTGACCAGGCTTTCTCTCAACAGGTGGACATGTTAAGTGAGATTAATATTGCTCCACGAATACTCACAAATTTCACTGGAGTGATGCCACCTCAGTTCAAGAAAGATTTGGATTCCTATCTCAAAACCCGTTCTCCAGTCACCTTTTTGTCTGACTTGCGCAGCAACCTACAAGTGAGTGGCTGGTTTCTGGGGACGCTGACTTGAAATAGTGTGACAAATGATCTCACTGTCTGAGTCACCCTCCTTTCTTACAGGAATGTTGTTGGTGTGCAACAAGCATGTATTGCAGGCAGCTGAAAAGCCTCTGAAAAAGCACACTTCTTTGAATATTTCCTCTACTATACCCTAGCAGGATGTTTAAGTCCCTGTGTTAAGTAGCTTAGCCAGGTGGAATTTAAGGAAAGAGGTAACAACCCTAAAATGATCTAATTTAAAAGTAGTTGGTTTGATCTGTATGAGCTGCCAAATGGTTGTGAGTGTCAGGTTATCTAAAGCTTTGAGTCTTCTGCTTGGGTGTTTCTAGTGCACAACCTTGCAAATCTTTAGTGAAGAATGTAGTTAGAGCTGATTGCATCAAGCTTGCTTTGTTCTCAGGCACTGGGTGATGAAGAGCCTTGTGGATTCCATCACATGACTCCAGCACTGTTTATCCAGGCATTGTCTGAGATTCAGCTGGTTTTATTGAACCTGATTGTGGGTTTTTTTAGAATCTGATTAAATTTTTACTCCAAATTGATTGTTATAGAAATGTATGGATCTGTGTGGGGTAAAATGAAGCAAATTAGCTAAAGCCCAGTTCAGAATTATTAGCCAACAGCATTTAATACATCACATGGCTTGGCTTGCAACAGACTTCAAGACTAAATTTGTACTTTCTCAGAAAATTACTCAGACGAAAGCATTCAGACAGTTGCATTTCAGCTAGCCGCTGGCGCTGCTGGTGAATTCGCATTGGCTTTACTTGATTTTGTTTTTTCTTTCAGAGAGGGAGTAAAAAAATTGTCTTGTGGGTCTGTCAGCACTTCGATGCTTTTTAATATGTATATAGATATATGTATCTGTAAGATGTATCTGCTGTATTGCAAAAAGGTAAATACCAAATTGAATTTGTGGATGTCCAAGTATGTTGTTGTCTGTATAGTCAAGAAGATACTTGGATGCTCTTGTACGTGCTGTACCTTCAGTTGATGAAGGAATACAGAATGGTAATGCTTTTCTATCTTTGCTATTAGGTATCAAATGAACCTGGCAACCGGTACAACATCCAGCTGATTAACGCACTGGTGCTCTACGTAGGTACTCAAGCTATTGCGCACATTCACAACAAAGGCAGCACACCCTCTATGAGCACCATTACCCACTCAGCTCACATGGACATCTTCCAGAATTTGGCAGTAGACCTGGACACTGAAGGTGAGCTGGGAACACTTCTAGTACGTGTGATGTCAAATTTAACAGCAGATTGATGAGAAATACAGAAGATTGTAGCTGCTAGTGAATTCACAGTAGGTAATGCTACGTTAGAATATTAAACTCTGAATACAGGAGCAGTGTTAAAACCAAATATTCAAGGGAATGAGAAGTAAGTTTAATGAAGAGGAATTGAATTCTTACTGCCCCATCAGCTTGTGTTGATAAGGCTTTTTCATGTCTTCAGCTGTACCTTCATAAGGCAGGCCCACAAAGCTTAGTCTTAAGCAATACTAGTTGCTGCTTTATTCCATTGTGTGTGTGTGTGTAAGGGAAACAGTTTGTACTCACTGTTCCTCTTCTGCAGGCCGGTATCTTTTCTTGAATGCAATTGCCAATCAGCTACGATACCCCAACAGTCACACCCACTACTTCAGTTGTACCATGCTGTACCTGTTCGCAGAGGCCAACACGGAGGCTATCCAGGAGCAGATCACTAGGTGAGAGCGAAGGCATTTAACTTGCCAGCACTCAGCTTTTCGCTTTCCTTTCTTGGGTATTTTGGATCTTTGAGCTCTCACTGCTTTTACTTTTGGATTTCAGGGTTCTCTTGGAACGACTGATTGTAAATAGGCCTCATCCCTGGGGTCTCCTTATTACTTTCATTGAGCTGATAAAAAATCCAGCTTTTAAGTTCTGGAACCATGAGTTTGTTCACTGTGCTCCAGAAATTGAGAAGTGAGTATAAATTAACCATAAAATCACTAAAAAAAAAAATATCTGAAGGAGGGGCTGAGTCACACCTTGAGTTCTTGGTGCTTTGTAGCAGAAGCACCATTTGCTGCCATGAATGCACCTAACACTGTGTTGCTTCTGTCCTCAGGCTGTTCCAGTCGGTTGCACAGTGCTGCATGGGGCAGAAGCAGGCCCAGCAAGTCATGGAAGGGACTGGTGCCAGTTAGATGAGCTGCATCTTGTGTTGTAAGTGTGCCAGCCTGGAGGTCCCCATCCCGCTGACTGACAGAAGACTCTGTAAGGCTCCTCCTGACCTTCCCCAGCCCCTTTGATTGGGTAGACACAACAGACCCTGGGTGAAAGTCTATGTGGGCATGTTCCAAAGTTTAAAAAAAAAAAAAAAAATTGACTTTTGGCCAAAATTCAGAAGATGCTGTGAATATCATTTTGAACTAGTGTAAATACAAGGAACAGAAACGTTTGTCTGGACTTCTGGGTTTGTGCAAATTCTGTAAAAGGCAGGTGGGTAACTGGTGCCTGTCCAGCTTGTAATAAAGGGGCAGCTGCTGATGCCAAGCACTTCTCTGGGGCAGACCTCCTTGTCCTGACATTCCCAGACTCCCAAAGAATATTGAAAAGCCAGTTATAATATTATGTAACTTATTTTTCTTTATGTGGATGGGGGACCTTTAAATCACTAAGTTGTTTTACAAAAAAAAAAGGTGAATGTGTTTGGAATATGGGAATATTATGGAGTAGGGGGGGTGAGGGAGGGGTTAAGGTACAGCATTGCTTTCCCCCCACCCTCATCAAATGCTGCCAGACAGCAAGTGGAGTGGCAGTCAGAGAATGCCTCCTTTCTGTTGGAGAAGACACACCTCAGGCCCTTTGGGAGAGGGTCAGCTGTTTTTAGTAAAGAAACCAGAGACCAGGCCTATAGCGCCTTTTTTTTTTTTTTTGACACTTGTAAATTTTGGAAGGTGGAGGGGGTTACATCTAGGCCTTTTCCCACCCCTCCAGCCTGTGACTACACAGTATAAGTTTGTAAAAAAAAAAAAAAACAAACACACACATAACCAAAAAAAAAAAAACCCAAAAGAAAAAAAAATAATAAATGAAGCAAAAACCCCAAAGGACCAATACAGCCCATTTTGTAAGGATTTTGAATGTTTTGTAAAGTATTGGTCCATGTGTTGTATTTTGTAGCCTTTCTAGTTCTTGGGCTTTAGTTCTCCCACTTCTTGTATGTATGCATACTGTAGTTACACATTAAAGTCATGACATGCAGCACGTGCCGCTGTGCTTATTCTCTCCAGTTCCATCCTGCCTGGACAGTTGATGTCTTTCAAAGTCCGTTCCACCCATCCAAAGCCTGCAGTTTTCCAGTGTGTTTTGGGCACTGCCTATTGACAGCAACTGGGTTTGTTTTCCAGCATGAGGCCAGAGGGGGAATTGTCAGGACTTGATGGGGCCTTGCTCTGCAGTGCAAAAGGAAAGGACGCTTGTGTGGAGATGGAAGTATCTTCGTTGCAAGTTCATGAGCAGAGTGTGGCTCTGACAAAGCTGTGCTAAAAGGAGACTGCTTACAGTGGAGGGATACAGATCAGCTTCGTTTCTCATGACTTGGACCCTGCTGTGATATTCCCTTCAGCAGGGATCTAGTTAGCTGGAATAATGATAGGTGGCTTTTGTGTTGCTAATACTACAAACTCCTTTAGCCTAGGCCTTGCAACCTAGGAGATACTAGGAAGAAGAGCTTCACTGCTTTCTTTTTAGATAACATCACTTAGTTTGTTAAAGCCAGCTGATTGCTATTGTATGGGTGGAGGGGTTGGGATTTCCTGCTGTGGTTTAAGGGACTGCGTACCTAGCTGTGCTTTTGCTGTACAGAGCAAAAACTAGCTCCAGGGGACCAGTGAGAGAGCTGTGCCAGTGGGCTGCAGCCCAAAGGGAATTCTGTGTGTGACCTGTTTCTCGGCAGTGTTTTTTGGTTGCCTGTGTGTAAAGGAACGGTCTTTTGCCAGTTCCTACCTGGTACTTGTTTGGCAGATTAGTAGTTGTGCTGAAATTGAGCCTTTTAATGTTGGAATTTTTTTGGTTATAGTGTTGCAACTCCAGTTTACTCTTCTTCCTGTATTGGGTTAGGATATGGAGAATTATCGGCAACTCGTTTATCTAGTCCAGATGCTCTGGGATTTTTTTCTGACATTTAACTCTAGTAAATCATATGCAAAGCTTATTGACTTGTCCCAATGACTCAAAGGTCTCTCTGGTTCTGTACTAATGCTTCTGGATGTGGCTGGTTCTCCTCAGACTTTAATAAATGTTAGGCTGAAGAGGGGTTGGGAGGTGGAAAGGACTCAGCCAAGATCCCACTAGCCCAAGCTGTACTGGCAGGATGGAGGCCACCGCTCCTCTCTTGGCAGGTAAGGAACCTGCAACTTGTGCTGTCAAAGTAAATAGTGCTGGTGTCAGCTCCCCAAGGATTCCAGTGTTCCTTGCCAGCAGAGGCCCTGGGTATAATGCACTTCGTGTTTAAGAAATGAAGACTAACCTTTTGATCCACCACATGCCTGGTTTGAAAGCCAGTCTGCTGTAGGAAAAGAATAGCTAAGATGGCAGACTGGGCTCTGTTACACCATTACACCACTGCAGAGGGGGGAGAAAAGATAATGTTAAACCACCCTGGCCCCCAGCAGTGAAGTTAGGGTTGTAGCTGACCTTTATCTACACAAATACAGGGGGTTTGCTCGTTTGCAATACTTCTAACTGCAGCAGCAGCCAAGACCCACCCCCGCCCCCTTTTTAGGTGGGGCTTTGGACCCTCTTGAAGTAGACAGCATTGGCTGGATAAGGAACATCATCTTTATTAAATATAGCTTGGCCTGCAAACCTCCAGTGTTTTGTAATGCAAAAACTGCTGAGGGAAAAATATTAATGTAGCTTAATGTGATGCAGAGCAATGCCTGAGTTCAGGGAAGAACTGTATCAACCAGAGGGGGTGTATCAAACGCTTCGCCTACAGCAGCTGCAGAACTGTGACACTGTGCCTTTATAGTTTCAAACCCATACAGAAATGCCTTTTATAAAGGTAAAAGGAAATTATCTTGCTATACTGAACCTACATGAAGACCAGATGGATGGGCTTGTACTCTTTAAAATGCTCAGTATTAAAAAAGCACAGGTGAAGAGTTTAGCATCTCCACCTGCCACGTATTTACTCTGAACCTCTGGAAGGTAAGAGCTACCAGCTGGATTTCTGCCCTCTTCATCTGGACAAGGAGCAGTTCTGGCTTTACATTTCTGATATTAAATGAGGGACCCCACTTGCTGTTCTGACAGTGTATGACTGCCTTCCTAAAGTGGCCATTAGGAGATCTGGATTTTCTTAAGTTGTCTAAAAGAAGGTGGTAGTTGTGCTCCAGAGCTCTCCTTGTAATGTAAGGCCACCCCAAACCACTTCTGTGCTGTGGAAGATACTTTTGTTTATGCAGAGGTAGCTAAAAAGCCATATGCCATTGGAGGGACAAGTAGGCCCATATTTATATTTAATCTTGCTCTCTGTTCTCACTGCTGTAGGAGAGATGGCCAGAAGGTGACCTTCCCTTCCTAGGCACAGTTCCAGGCAGTTCATTTCCAGAGGCAGCGAGGTTTCTAGTGTACCAGCTCTAGCAGCTGATGCAAGATCTTTTTCTGTCCATAGCGCACATGCAAAGCTTGCTGCTCCCTTCGACTCAGTTTCTCGTAAGTCTCCTTGTTATTTAGTAAGTCCTGCTCTGCTTTCAAGTCTGACCCGTAGGACTCCAGGGTCAGCAGCACACTGTCATAAAGGAGCTTCTTGCAAGGGGTTTTAAGTCTGGAGAGAGCCTTGTTAGAGAGGAGAGAGTGTTGTTCTTCCTCACTGTCATCTTCCCAGCCATCTTGTTCCTTGTACTCCTTGAACTCTTCTTCTGACATGCAGAGCACCTGTAATGACCCAGGCAAAGAGACCTGTCATGGGCAGCGAGGGTACACCAGGCTTTCTCCTCAAGAGAGGTGTGGTCTTAGAGCAGGTGAATTATTCCTCAGCTGCACTAAAGGTGAGAGAGTAAAACTGGCTTAGATACCTCATCACAAAATAACTTGTGAGTGAAAAGAACATTCAAACAGCAAACGTAGGTGCTGGGAACAGTCTTAAAAGGACATCTCGGCAGCTACCTACAAACATGCAAAGCTCTCTAGAACAGCAGTAACCACAGAGCCATTCAAGATTGGTACGTAAGTACATGCTGGTGGCTAGTTCGGGAAAGGAAGATAACAGTACCTAAAGTCTGGGAGCTCAGCAGCTACAATCCCTACTAGTCTTCGTTGCGGGAGTGTTTGTACTGAAATGCCTTTACATGCTTGTCCCCTTTCACCAAACCGTTTTGTGTGCTGGTTTGCACAGCTGCAGTATGCTCAGTCTGCGCCCCTCCTGCTGTAGCTCCTCCACCCCTTGGCAGTGCTTACCTTCAGGGTCACAGCCAGCTCTTCCTCTGTCAGCACCTCATCCCAGCCCAGCACAAAGGCACCTTCCTCCCCCACCATCTCCAGCTGGCACAAGAAGTCCCACTGCTCTGAGACCAGCTGCTGCTGTGCTTTGCTTCTTGCCCCTGTTTTGAAGACAGACAGAGCTGCAAACCCAGCTGGGATTGCAGCAGAGGGTGGGGTGGTGAAGGGAGAAAGGGAAACAAGGCAGAAAACAGAGGCGTCGCCCCAGCACCCCAAGTGCTGTGGAATAGGCTTGTTCTTCACATCACCCTTGATCCCTGCTTCACTACATCACTATTTAAGAGATCCCTGCTCCAACCTTTCCCAAAGTGGCTTCAGGTACCACTCACGCTGCAGCGCTGCCTTGCGTACTGTCACCATCTGGATGTCAGCCGTGTCGTTGGTGTTGCCAGGGTACGGCTCTGCGAAGCCATACATGTGTAGGAGCTGCCAGTTGGCCATCTGCCCATAGGTGTTGAAGATCTCTTGTCCTTTGCTGATGGGCTGTGTTGTAACCATTTGTAAACATTGCTGCAAGCGGGGAGAGAAGAGGCTCATTGCTGCGGTGATCCTGCCACTCTCAGAAACGAAGTGTTTCAGAGAGGCTCAGATGACCCTCAGTTCCTCCTAGCTAAAACGAGGCATGCAGCAGGGCAGTATGTTGAGCAAAACAGCTTCCTATTAATGAGATCCAGGCCAGCCAGGCTGCTCTGGCAGGTGAACAGTGCTGCTCTGGGTTCAGACAGCCAGCCCCACATAGCTGCCACACCCAGAGGCCTTGAGGAGAACCGGACCATGGTGACGCCTGGCACAAGGGCTCTGCACTCACAGGGGAGTATTCCAGGTTGGCATTGTGGTTGGCCACGTGGTTCAAAATATCTGCTACAGGCACCATCATGGGAGGATTGGGGCCCTTCTCATCTTCATCTTCCTCCTCCAAAGGTTCCTGAAAGCTAAGACAAGGGAGATGAAGACAAGCACATTTTACACCTTGAAGCACAAGCTTCAGCTCATACTTAAAAGGTTGCAGTTGCACAAGAACGTTAAGTAATGCAGCCTTTAACCATTCCCCTGTGGTCCTCCTCTTGCCTTTGCTCCTTGTCCGAGCAAAGCCCTCACTTCTCTCACCTGTAGGCCATGACAAATGCCACCAGCTGCTTGTACAACTCCAGTGTGTGCAGCTTGGGGTCAAAGATGTTGGGGTGAGACTCCATGAAAGGCAGGATGATGGAGCTGTACTCCAGGTGGATGTTAGCCAGGTCCCTGTCCACAGCTTCTGGGATGCCTGTGCCCTGCAGGAGCCGCCTTCGCTCTTCTTCAGGCCTGGTGCAAGAAAAACAGCAGTTTTATCTCCATCTGCCCCTGTGAGGAGGGTCTAGAAACTTATTTCTCCTTCAACACCTCAGCTTCATGGTGCTCTCCAGCCTCCTGGTGCCAGTTTATGCCTGGAGCCACCTTAAACCCCACCTTGGGGGGTCCCCCGGGCTACTGCTGCCACAAGCAGAGGGCTAGATGCGAGGGAAAGGATCACACAGGAGGGACCACATCCAGCCCAAGGAGTCCAGTCCCGCAGTCCCTGCGCCTTGCTGTCACCTTACCAGAACATGGGGTGATCCAGGCTCCTGAAGTCCTGCCAGAGGGAGAAGTAAGGCTGCCAGGGGGAGTTGCTAGCTGTGTACTCGTGGAGGAGGGCCAGCAGGAGAGGCACCCACCCCGACTGGCTCTGCAGGGAGTCCTGGGCTAACGAACCACAGACACAAAAACGTAAGTTACAACTCAGGCTGAGGTTTTGGTTCCTTCCTCTGAGAACCAGTCTTCTGTGAGCCTGAGCCCCCAGGCCTCAGCGCCTGCCTGTAGCCTGGGGCTGGGGTCCTGTTTTTACTCTGGAAGATCTCTCCACTCTTGGGTTTGCCCTGAGCTGGACCAGAACCTGCTCCTCTGAGCTGCTGCAGGCCCTGCACCTCCCCTGCTGTGGGGCTTGGGGGCCTTTCTCCAAGCAGCTTGTCTGTCCTGGGCCTCCAGGAAAGCACCCTCCTGTACATCAGCACTTCAACCACCTGGAGGTGGGAGTAACAGTTTTTCTCAGAGCCCAGCACGGCTCCAGGCTCCCTTAGGAAGCCTTATGGGCACCTGA